TCCCTAGGGGATCTACAGGTGTCTGTGGCCATCTGTGCACGCCTGGAGCTACTGCAGCCTCTAGGGAACCCCCTTCTTTGCAGGGCAGACACCAGCCATGGAACTTCCCTACCAAGGATTTCTCTTGGCTGTGGTTGCTCCCAGCATTTGGAATGAGAGGGTTTTGTGGAAAAAATAATACAACTGTGACAACCAGCATTCCAAAGGGAGAACAGGGGGGTTGAACCCCAAAGAATAAGCAATTGACTCAGCTGATTGTATACAGTGGTATTGTGCTATAAAACATATGTTGAGTAAGGTCTTTTATGAAAGCTTGTAATGTTGCTAAACATTATGAGGTATGTAAACAGGCTCTCGGTATGAATTTATGTGTTTGTGTATATAGTGAACTGTGATCATAAACTTCAGCTCCACCTCACAGCAGGACAGTGAGTGACCAGAAAGAGAGGGGCACCTCCCAAGCCAGGTGTTTACACAGTTCAGACTCATGTAACAATCCATTGTACAACCCAGAGAGTGGCAGATTAAAGCACAGGCCCATGTGGCCCATGCCTAGAGGCCCCGGCCAATTTGGGGGCCCTACAGGAGTGCTGGAACCTATGTAGAAGTGGGCATGCCACTGGTGCTGGAACTATGACACCGCCCCTGCTCCTCCTCTTCCCCCGGGGAAGCCTGGAGCCAGGCCGTGGTAAGCGCACTGCCACCTTACAGAAGCCTTTGTGCTCTGCAAGAAATGAGAACTGGCAAAGAATGAATGATTGACAGTAGTCCTAAGTGCTCCTTAAAAATAAAACAACTATTTTAATTAAAGTTCTTCACAGAAAATATTCTCACTTTTTGGCATACACAGGGCAAGTGACATATTAGGCAACTGCATATTCCTCATACAGAGTTACATTTAGATGTCCGTGACATAATGTGAACATAATAATTTAGTTCACACATTTTAGTGTGAGGTAAGGTAGACTCTGGAAACAACCTAGTTTTGCTTCTACCACTCTTCCTCCATGGGCAATGGGATGATTTACATTTTCAAACAGTGTAGCCACATGATTCAAGTAACAAAGCACTAAATAATATATCAGGGTAGGGCAAACTATGGCCCACTGGCCGGCCATGGCCCGTCAGGGCTTTCAATCCGTCCCATGGGATTCCCAGCCTCATGGCACAGCGGGGCTAAGGCAGGCTCCCTGCCTGCCCTGGCCCCGCGCTGCTCCCGGAAGTGGCCGGCACCACGTCCTTGTGACCCCTGGGGGAGGGGGAGCAGAGGGCTCTGTGTGCTGCTCTCGCCTGCAGGCACCGCTCCCCGCAGCTCCCATTGGCAGGGAACTGCGGACAATGGGAGCTTTGGGGGTGGTACCTACAGGCGAGGGCAGTGCATGGCAGAGCTGCCTGCCGCACCCCACCCCTAGGAACCACTGCGGGACATGCTGGCCACTTCCGGGAGTGGCGTGGGGCCAGGGCAGGCAGGGAGCCTGCCTTAGCCCCGCTGTGTGCCGCTTCCACCACATAGCCGCTCGAGGTAAGCAGCGCCGGGTCAGAGCCCGCACCCCAAACTCCTCCTGCACCCTGCACTCCAACCCCCTCCCCTGAGCCCCCTGCTGCACCCCTCCTGCACCCCAACCTGCTGCCCTGAGCACCATCCCACACTCTGCCCCCTCCTGCACCACAACCCCCTGCCCTGAGCCCCTTCCTGCACCCCGCACCCTGTCCCACACCCCGCACTCCCTCCCGCACCTCAACCCCTTGCCCCAGCCCTACATTCATGGCCCTGCATACAATTTCCCCACCCAGATGTGGCCCTCGGGCCAAAAAGTTTGCTCACCCCTGTAATATATCCCTGTTGCCAGAGAAAATGTGTTTGGTAAAGTACCAAAAAGAGCTGCAACTTTTCCAATATTCAGATCTTCTCTTAAAATGAACCGAAAATCATACCCATCTTTTCTCCAAAAGTTAGTTCTAACAGGGCAGGATGAAATTATTGTGCAGCAGGCCTTCCTAAATAAGAACATAAGAACGGCTATACTGGGTCAGACCAAAGGTCCATCTAGCCCAGTATCCTGTCTTCCAACAGTGGCCAATAGGGGTGCAGGTGCAGGTGCCCCAGAGGGAATGAACACAACAGGTAATCATCAAGCGATCCATCCTCTGTTGCCCATTTCCAGCTTCTGGCAAACAGAGGCTAGGGACACTGTCCCTGCCCATCCTGGCTAATAGCCATTGATGCACATATCCTCCATGAATTCACAATTCTGTTTTTTTGTTTTGTTTTGTTTTGTTTTTTGAAGGGGGTATTTAATTTTTATGGGTTTATTTTAGCAATTTTTGAGTTTTACATAGATTTCCAAAAATCAGGGGTTTTCGAGGCTTTCTCTCTGTATATGCTGTAATGAGTATTATATATTATAGACATTACTCATGCAGTAGTATACACTATAATGAGTAATCTCTTTGTAACATTGCCTAGTGTGCTTTAACATAGTACTGTTTGTAACATTGCCTAGTGTGCTTTAACATAGTACTGTTTCAAACAGCGGTATATTAAAGTGCACCAGGGAACCTTTCGTGTGTGCCAGTGTGTCTACATGAGCCAATTCATGCACAACATGTTAGTATGCTTCAGAAATCATACCCCCATAGTTTGCATTACTGCTCCATGTACATAAATCCATAGATACAAGTAACCATTTCTAGTATTTTTCTCGTGAAATACCTGGATAAACACCTATTTCATTTTTTTAAAATCAGGGGTGTTTTATCAGTGTTTATCAGTTAAAATCCAAAATCAGGAGCCCTAAATATACATCTCCCAACACTTGTTTGGCTGAGGTGCCACCTAAAGAGGGTTTGCTACTGGGTCTTTTTTAAACTGGAGAGTGTAGTATCCTGCAAGACATACTTGCAATGTGTAACCATCCCTTTTCTGATACTTCAACTTGTTGCTTTTCCATCCATTTTTTATTCTGTATGACGTTTGTATTCTGTATTTCAGTATACTTTTCCTTTAACACTTTGAGGCAATGTTAACTGCTCTGGTTCTGTTTGTTCTCATGTGATTTGGCAAGCCTAGAGAAAGAAAGTTTCTAATTTTTCAAACAGAAGAGTGAAGGAAAGTCAGCAAGTTTTACATTTTGTTTTTAACATAGATTGTTTCCATGGAACAAACGCTAGAGCCAGAAAATGTCATTTTTTATATTTGGGCTAGTTATCAATCATAACATCTTTATGGGTCAAGATTTCGGCACTGGACACTCTATTCTGGTCTTGCTGATTTATTGCTGAGGCACATGGCAGTTCTGTGCTAGAATATCCCAGAGATTTCCGAGGAGACATTGTGCACCTGTATGTAACTGAAAGGAATCAATACAATTAAATATCAGACAAACCATGTTTGATGTCCTCACACTACGTGGGTAAAAAAGTCAACATGATGTTTCTAAAACATCATCCCATTGCGATGTTGCTTTGGAACTCACCTATCCCCTTCCGGACATTGTCAGGATGATGTCCTGCTACAATATTGCATGAAACACATCTATAATACAGGCGTGCTGGCAAGAGACCGGTCTCTATTTCATGGCTTTGGCAACAAGACGTGGTCTATGGGTCAGCGTCCAGTGACTCCAGTAGATATCATTCTATCAGCTTGCTTTGACACTACATTAGGGTTACCATACGTCCTCTTTTTCCCGGACATGTCCGGCTTTTCGGCAGTCAAACCCCCGTCCGGGGGGAATTGCCAAAAAGCCGAACATGTCCGGGAAATGGTGGCTCTGCTCCTCCCCGACTCTTCGGCTCTGTTTAAGAGCCGGGCTGCCCGAGCGCTACCGGCTTCGGGCAGCCCCGTGCCTCCAGACCCTGTGCCGCCGGAGCCCGGGAGGGGAAGTGCCCGGCTGGGGGCGCAGGGTCCGGAGGCATAGGGGCTGCCCAAAGCCCCAGTGCTACCGGCTTCAGGGTTTGCTGGGCAGCCTCCAGACCCTGCGCCCCCGGCTGGGCGCTTCCCCTCCTGGGCTCCAGCTGCGCTGGGAAGCGCCGGCTGGGGGCGCAGGGTCTGGGGGCTGCCCGGCAAACCCTGAAGCCGGTAGCACTGGGGCAGCCCTTTCCCCCTGGCTGGGAGTGGAAGGGAGGAGGGGGCGGAGTTAGGGTGGGGGAATGGGCGGGGTTGGGGCGGGGCTAGGAGTGGGGATATGGGCGGGGCCAGTGTCCGTGGAGGGTCCTCTTTTTTTATTTATGAGATATGGTAACCCTATTAGTGATGCTTATGTGGGTGAGGAGCAAATCGGGGCAGGGACCATGTTTTCTCTAAATTTTGTGTATGTGG